TTAAGGTTTAGTATGTGAACCTTGGTCCCAAAGCTCCTTATCTCCTTGATAGGATCCGGAACAGCAACGACGCCGGCCATTTTTAGGAGGAAATTGCCCAATCGAATAACCCATGCAACTGGCTAGATCAAATGGGAATTCATAAAAATCGATAGTGGCAAGTGCGAATGTTTCACTGATGTCCATTTGCTATTTGCCACCGTTGTGCTGGGCTCTGATACCATGTTGGAGGGCATAAAACGCTGATGGCACTGCTTTCTTTAGCCATTTATGGACAAAGCATGAGCGGAAATTGAATGTGCAAGTAGGACAAAAATGGTCGCAATATATTTTATAGCGCTTTAATGAAGCAATGATAAGCATTAGAGTACTATATTCAATGAATACTCTGATATCAAATAGTTGGAAACTAAGTTTTGCAACTCATTCAATGCTCTCCTCTCTCTCTCAACATGAAGCACTCAAATTTTGCGATTGTATAGGCTGTGACGTAAGCTACAAGCTTAGCTGCTATTTTGCCAAATTCTGGCTTCACAATGAGAGTTAAGCTAGGTATATGGTACAAAAGAAAAAAAAATATAAAATTTGACAGATTTAGCTGAAACTTGGCATAGGTGTTATCCGACATGCTGATCACGAAAACGATAGTAAAGTTGCGTGATAAAGGCTTTCTTGTAAGGTTACTGTAAGTTTGCGATATGGGGTCCCACTGTAAACAAGGAATGAGGCGTTGATATAACTAATGAATATGATATTCGTATCTGATAGGTCAAGTAGCCTTACTATGTCAAGTCTCGGGAAAAATTGAGCTTCCGACTATTTAGTTTTGGCGGTCGGTCGCAGCAGCCCTTGCGTACTGCGACTTGCTCGAGTTTGTCAGGGCGCCAAATCTCGACAAGTCCCTAAATCTTGATTCTTTTTTACTAAGCCAATGAATCAACTTCTATCAATAATTCTCGCACGATTCTGCATCACTGCGCATGGTCTAGGCTGGTAACGACTTTATTTTGGCTTGAAACCCCAGAAATTCTTGAAATTCACTAGTTTTTGAAAAATGCCTGAAACTTCTCTATTTCGTATTCAAAATTTGAGCAATCTGCGCACAGATGTAGCACACATTACTCCCTACATATTGCCGAGGTTTAATGCGCCATGACTCAAGAGGTTGATTTATGAAACTAGGTGTACTTAGTGGATACTTAGTTTCCAACTCAATGAATCTTACACTTATTGCTCTCTTTGATGACTAGTGAGATTTAGCAACTCTATCCTAATTGCACATGTAAATTCTTCCTGCAATAAACGCTCACAACTCCTCGTCAAGAAGTTCCGCAAATGCAAAGCAGATTTCCAACGTTTTCTCCTCTTCAACGACGTATACATCCCATTCAAAAACGTCATTTCGACAAGAAATGCTTTCCGTGCAAGCAAACAAGTAAAATTTGAGCTGCTAGTAGAATTAAACTATTTGTCTTTGAAAACGGCTCCGTGTATTCAAAGAAGGCTCTTCGAGAGAGTTCAACTGTTATGTGCAGAGTCAAGGTAGATTTAAACCCTAGCTATCCTAGGGTTAGATTTTACCTCGAAAGCATAATAGAAAGTTGATGGAGAAATGATGATTGAGGTAGATTTCAACCTCAAGGTAGAATGATGAATACGGGTTTATGCGTTTGAAGGTTCATTCCTACCTCAAGGTAGACTTAACCCACGAGAAAATTTCATTGCGATCATGTTGTGAATACGGGTTATAAACTAAAATGCTAGCTGAGGTAACTTTTAACCTCAAGGGTTCGTTGATGAATACGGCCACTGTTTTCTTTTAGAGCGAAAAGTGAATGAAGAGGAGAAGCATGATATTGCCTGAGGAAGATCTTTGGAAAGGAATCGGTTTTAAATCATTGCCACTATAAGTGGACAGCGCGAAATTAGATTATACACCCTTACATTTGCTCATTTTTTCTAATAAAAAATGAACAGGTGGTTTTTTCTGAAAAATTTGTTTTCTCTTTTAATCGGTTTTATTGCGAAAAAATGTGGTCATCATCAAAACACTTTCACTTCTTAGACTTTTGACCAGTGAATGTAACTTGCAAAATTACCGAAACTAAAAGCTTCTGCGTTTTACAAATATTGGCTAATGAACAAATTTGGTCATTCGTGGTCATTCGCCCGACCTCCTAAAAATAATTATTATTTCAAGGTCCATATTATCGTCAAGTCGTCGAGCGCACGGGCTTTCGGTTGGCGATGAAGGGCGACGCGGCTGCGTTTTAAGAGCATGACTTGTAACTTTTGATTCAACTTTCTTGGCTGCTGGAAGGCATGGCTTTGTGACCTACTTAAGGCAAGGGACATACCTCACGCGATTTCAGTCGCCAGGCGATCTGGCAATTTGCCAGATGTCTTCAAATTCAATACTAGTAGACCCCAAATGCACAGCATGTATAACTTTCGTAGGTTGATAAAATGCCCCATCTTCCGTACATTCAGAAACCTCGTACGATGAGTGATGAAGATTTGGAGTACTGCCAAACCGCGTGGCGACTGAAATCGCGTGAGGTATGCCCGAGGCCTAAGGCCGCTCGCACCCACGACGCATTCTGTGTCTCTCCGGCGCTCTCTGATCGCTACTTAGCCTTAATTAGGTCACGAAGCCCCGCCTTCCAGCCGCCAAGCCAATTGAATCTAAGGGAAAAATGGCGCTTTGTACTAATACAAGCGTTTAGCCGCGTTGCATGCCCCGCAATTCATGGTCTATCGGTGCTGCCAAATACTCGAAGTAATACAGCTTCTCAACCAGCAGAACAAAAATATTTTATGAAAAACTTTTGAGTGCGTTTTGGCTTGTATTTACACATTGGGACTGTATTAAAACTTTTATCCAATCCCAAGCAACAACTCATGTGCAAAAATTTCAGCTCTTGAAGGCAGCGTACACCCAAAATTTTATCGTCAATATTTTATTGTTATCGGGTCTTTCCATGACGCTGATTCGGGATATGAGGTTCAAACCATCAGAAACTTTAATGACCCTTCCTGAAGCCCTAATTTGGCAGACATGGACGAGTGCCTCGGCATTAGTCACGTCGTATGCTACAGGAAACCCGTCGTGTGCAAAGTGCCACATCACAAACTATGCTCTCGACATTGCTTGTCACGTCAGAACACGTTACTTAGCAATCCGTGGGTGGGTCTAGCGCAAAAAAGGGGCGGAGCGCAAAAAAAGATGTGGTCCGTTATCTCCTTTTGTAGGCAAAATCAGGGAACCGAACCAATGCGGTTGGTCTACTTTAAAGCCTGCTAGTAGGATGATAAGTTGTAATCTGGGGTCAGCAGATTTTGGGTGGACTCTACCTTCAAAGGCACCCTCTCAAACTGATGGCAATGAGACTCCGATATTAATTCATAGGGGGGTCCCTAACTAAGCAGTTGCTCAATTCTTGCTGCAAAAATAATGTTTTGAAAAAATTGCTCCAAAAGGTGGAATGGTAAGAGCCGCAATGGTCCCGCCCAATGCAGATGTTGCAAAATGCAAGTCCTAAAAGCTTTGGTAGACAGAAAAACCGCAAATTCGATGATCATAATAAAGGGCGGATATTCTGTGCACATGCCAGTTTTGAACGTATCACCTGCAAACCATCCGACCTGAAGGATGGAGCCGGCAAGGTCACTTCCACCTTCTGGAGCGTTTTCTCGGTTGATAATATTTTTTGTGTAATACATAGGCGACTGCTTAGTCAGGGCCCTCGCTGTTATATAGCATTAGAATTTCATCACTCTCAGCCTGGTAGACGGCTACAAAAATGCGACTGCGAGAAATGCTGTAGCCTTTGACTAGTTGGTTAAGTTCATAAGTTCCACTTGTTGGTTGAGTTCATAAATTCCAGCATCCCACTCATAAGCAAAATAGACAAAAACTTTTCCACGGAATAATGTGCTTGAAGGCGGGTGCCAAGATATTTTGAAAGTGGTAGAAAACTTTGATAAAACTCGCATTAACGGGCATCCTTCGATTCCACAATAATGAAATTCATCAAGGATTTGATGTGTGGTTCAGCGAGCAGTCAATGAGACAAGCTATGTTATCTACACCTCAATTTCTTTTCTCGAAAAGTCGTGCACTTATTTTGAATTCCAAACATTCCTTCCGTTCCCATTGGTACTGACTTCTGTACGGAATAGAGAGGTGAAAAAGGTGTTTACAAGACTTACGATGTGAACAAACTTATAGCTAACAGCGTAATGGGAATAATTCATACCATTAAAAAGAAATTTGTTGTAGTCATCTAAAATTCAAACCCTGATTCTGCAGGTATCTTTTTGGGAGGGGAGAGGGGTTGATATGTAATATATCTTTTCTGCGGCAAAAAGCCTGATAAAAATATAAAAAGCTTTTATGGTTTTCCAATCACATCGGTTATGAGTATTACAAATATAAATAAGCCAAGATGCGAATGTTTTTAAGACATTGAAGCAACCAAAGCCTACCAAAGCAGCTTATTCAATGAATACTCTTAGATGAGAAAATATATCACTTTTGGTTGCTTTAGTTAAAGACTAGGAAGTTTTTAGCTCCCTTTTAGCCTAAATTCACATCAATTTTTTGCTCTAATAGACCCTCATAATTACTCGTCCACAAGCATTGCGCAAATGAGGATTGCAGATCTGGGATCAGAGTTTTATGCTCTTTAATATGGTATACATTACATCTAAGAAGGCCACTTCGACTAAACATGCTTCCCTTGTGAGCTAGTAAGAAACGGAGAATGACAAATGGATTATTTGCTTCAATAATGCATTTTGCCAACAATTTGCACGTATTTATTGAGTCCAAGATTTGTGAATGTATCATCTCAAATTTACACCGCTTTGCAAGTGTCATGTCACCACCTGTGCCCTGAAGATCAACATCACTGCTGTTAGGATTGAATTTTTTCAATTACCTGGACCGAATAGCGGTCTGAAGGATTCTGGTGGTGGTGGCATTGGCGGTCCACGTAATTCCGGTGGTGGTGGCATTGGCGGTCCACCTAATTCCGGTGGTAGCATTGGCGGTCCACGTAATTCTGGTGGTGGCGGCATTGGCGGTCTATACGGCATTCCAAACCCATGTCTGTGTCGCCACATTCCGCACCCTCTTCCTCCAAATCTTCTTGGTCCTCGTAACATTCCTGGCCCCATTCCGGGGCCGAATGGTCCATGTGGCGTCCATGGCGGCGGCGGTGGTGGTTGTTCAGCCAATGGAGATTCTGACGGTGGCAGTCCGCTGTTTGAGAATGTTTTTAAGACATTGAAGCTGCGAAGCCTTTGATGGTCTTGTTTGCATTGTAGTGAGTGTATTGTAACCAGCACGTCAATATAAGCACCACTGTAAGCTGAGGCAGCATTGTCCAGACTAAACTCTGGAAAGGCCTGTGTTTCCGAAAAGAGCAAAAAGTCCCACGTTTCTCCAGAAGTCTATCAATGTTGTTTGAGTTCGTGGCACTTGTTGTTCTTACCTATTCCACATTTGGGCAAGGTAAGGTAGTTTTTTTCTTTGAGACAATCTTGAAAGCGGACTGCCACCGTCAGAATCTCCATTGTTGAACAACCACCACCGCCACTGCGAATGATGCATGGGCCATTCCGCCCCGGAATGGGACCAGGAATGTTACGAGGACCAGGAAGATTTGGAGGAAGAGGGTGCGGAATGTGGCGACACAGACATGGGTTTGGAATGCCGTATAGACCGCCAATGCCGCCACCACCAGAATTACGTGGACCGCCAATGCTACCACCGGAATTAGGTGGACCGCCAATGCCACCACCGGAATTAGGTGGACCGCCAATGCCACCACCACCGGAATTACGTGGACCGCCAATGCCACCACCACCAGAATCCTTCAGACCGCTATTCGGTCCAGGTAATTGAAAAAATTCAATCCTAACAGCTGTGATGTTGATCTTCAGGGCACAGATGGTGACATGACACTTGCAAAGCGGTGTAAATTTGAGATGTTACATTCACAAATCTTGGACTCCATAAATACATGCAAATTATAGGCAAAAGGCAACTGTTATTGAAGCAGATAATCCATTTGTCATCCTCCGTTTCTCACCAACTCACAAGGAAGCATGTTTAGTCGAAGTTGCCCTATTACATGTTATGTATACCATAGTGAAGAGCATAAAACTCTGATCCCAGATCTGCAATCCTCATTTGCGCAATGCTTGTGGACGAGTAATTATGAGGGTCTATTAGAGCAAAAAATTGATGTGAATTTAGGCTAAAAGGGAGCTAAAAACTTCCTAGTCTTTAACTAAAGCAACCAAAAGTGATATATTTTCTCATCTAAGAGTATTCATTGAATAAGCTGCTTTGGTAGGCTTTGGTTGCTTCAATGTCTTAAAAACATTCGCATCTTGGCTTATTTATATTTGTAATTCTCATAACCGATGTGATTGGAAAACCATAAAAGCTTTTTATATTTTTATCAGGCTTTTTGCCGCAGAAAAGATATATACATATCAACCCCCCTCCCCTCCCAAAAAGATACCTGCAGAATCAGGGTTTAAATTTTAGATGACTAAAATAAATTTCTTTTTAATGGTATGAATTATTCCCATTACGCTGTTAGCTATAAGTTTGTTCACATCGTAAGTCTTGTAAACACCTTTTTCACCTCTCTATTCCGTACAGAAGTCAGTACCAATGGGAACGGAAGGAATGTTTGGAATTCAAAATAAGTGCACGACTTTTCGAGAAAAGAAATTAAGGTGTAGATAACATAGCTTGTCTCATTGACTGCTCGCTGAACTACGCATCAAATCCTTGATGAATTTCATTATTGTGGAATCGAAGGATGCCCGTTAATGCGAGTTTTATCAAAGTTTTCTACCACTTTCAAAATATCTTGGCACCCGCCTTCAAGCACATTATTCAGTGGAAAAGTTTTTTTATTTTGCGTATGAGTGGAGTGCTGGAATTTATGAACTCAACCAACAAGTGGAACTTATGAACTTAACCAACTATTTAAAAATAGGATTTACACCATATTAAAGATCATAAAGCGCTGATTCCACATCTGCTTTCCTTATCTGCGGAACGTTTATGGACGAGAAGTTATAAACTTTTATTGAAGCAAAAAATTACATATGCAAATAAGATAAAAATGTTGTGATTTTTTCTAGTGCCTTAATATAGCAGTGATTATCTCCTTTTTATGATATAAGCTAAGGATACTAAAACATTCTTTATTTCGGACTGTGTTCTAGTCACTAAACAGCAGTAGTGGATGTACCGACGGTAAATGGCGTTCCACTTAGCACAGATTTCTCAAGTTGATAAATAAAACAAATTTCAGGAATTGGTTCTGGCCTCTGGCCCATAGCTAGCCCGCGAATCCGGGAATAGTTCGCAAGTTCGCTATTGTTTTTGGGCCTTTGAGGACGGCGGAAGCGCCGAAACGTTAGGCCATTCGAATAAAGATATACCGTGAAAAACCTGTTCGGCACAAGTAGAATTGGGGGTTATAAACAATGCTCGGGTTCAAAGAAATTGAAACATTCAAGTTACTTTTGTTGCCTTTTGAAGCGGAAAAAATGATTGAAGAGGAGAAGCATTTTTGTGCCTAAGGAAGAACTTTGGAATGGATTCAGTGTCGAAGTTCTGGTCATTAACCTTGAACAGCGGGAAATATTACGGATCGTACACCTCTTACGAATGGCGGACAAAGGGGGCTGGGGGGGGGCTTCCTCCCCGAGAATGGGTCTCGAAATTTTTGAAAAATTTCCATAGGCCACAAAAATGTGTAAGTGACTCGTTTATTCTTGTAAATGATTGAAATTATTTTTAAAATTTTCTAGAATTTCAAATCAGCTTTGTAACCCTTTTCTAGAGTTTAAAGGCACCGTCCACCCAAAATGGGGTCGATGAGATCTTGATGCTTAACAGTAGTTGGCCCCTCAACTGTATACTAATCCAACTCGCGCTGGCAAGTTGCTTCCGAAGCGAGAAAATTGCTTCAAAAATCGCTCTGATGACAGATTCGCCACGTTGGCTCCTCCCCTTTGAGTGGGCGTGACGTTCTTCCCGCCCATCCGTGCGTGTCCAACCAATCACCGTTCCGAAGAAATCGCTCTGCGGGTTCTGAAAACGGGGGTTTTTCGTGGTTTTCGCGAAATTTCGACTTGATATTCGGAGTCAGAGGTATGAGAAGGCCCTGGAACGGCAAAAACATGGAGGTCGAAATATTGGGTGGACGGTGCCTTTAGGGTTATGGCCCTTAAGATTTTGAGAAGCACCCCAAAATTTTTTTCGAAGTGCGTGGCTAACGACACGCGCCTCCATTTGAACGAGATTTTTACTCTCCCCTCCCCCCCCCCCCCGGATGTAAATTCTGCGACCACTACTGACCCTTACATTCATTTTTACACTACAGAAATAAACAGCATGTTTTATTTTTAAATTTAGTTTTCTCTTTTCGCTAATGGGTTTTATCACGAAAAAATATGGTTAACGATCATCAAAATAGTTTTGATTATTTGCATTTCGACCAGTGGAAGCAACGACCGTTGCTTCATTCTACACATATACCTGATTGCTCAACTATGTTTAACATTGAGCGGATGCTAAAGCCTTTGACTGTTGATCACGTTTTTATTATAAATTCTGCAACATTCTCTAATCATACGCAAAACAATAGACAATAACTTTTCCACGGGCTACGAATGTTGCTCAAAAACGGATACCTAGATATTTTGAAAGCAGTAAAAAATTCTGATGAAACCCGCATCAACAAGCATCCTTCGACTCCCACGATATGAAATTCATCAAGGATTTGATGCTTGGTTCAGCAATCACTGAGATAAGCTATGCTGTCTACTCCTTTATTTCTTTTCTTGAAAAGTAGTGCACCTTCCGGTTCCCATTGGTACCGACCTCTGCATTGAACAAAGAGGTGAGAAAGGTGTCAAGACTTATGATGTGAACAAACTTATAGCTAAGAGCGTAATGGGGATGATTCATGCCATCAAAAGAAATGTATATTGTAGCCAACTAAAATTCAAATTCTGAATCTGCAGATATCTTCTTGTGGAAAGATGTAATATATCTTTTCTGCGGTAAAAAGCGTGATGAAAATATAAAAAAAATGTTATGGTTTTCGCTCACATTGGTTATGAGTATCACAAATATAAAACTGCCAAGATGCGAATATTTTTCAGACATTGAAGCTGCGAAGCCATTTGATGGCCTTGTTTGCATTGTAATGAGTGTATTTTAACCAGCACGTCAATATAAGCACCACTGAAAGCTAAGGCAGCATTGTTCAGCCTAAACTCTGGAAAGGCCTGTGTTTCCGAAAAGTGCAAAAATTCCCACGTTTCTCCAGAAGTCTATCAATGTTGCTTGAGTTCGTCGCACTTGTTTTTCTTGCCTATTCCACATTTGGGCAAGGTAAGGTAATTTATTTCCTTGACATAATCTTGAAAGCGGACTGCTACCGCCAGAATTTCCATCGGCTCTACCGCCACCACCGCCACCGCCAAGAATGCATGGACCATTCGGACCTGGAATGGGGCCAGGAATGTTTCCGGGAGGACCAGGAAGGTTTGGAGGAAGAGGGTGGAAAAGAATGTGGCGACACAGACATGGGTTTGGAATGCCATATAGACCGCCAATGCCGCCACCACCAGGACCTGGACCGCGATTCGGTCCAGGTAACTGAAATGCTCTTTATTCAGTCCTAACAGTCGTGATGTTGATCTTCAGGGCACAGGTGGTGATATGACACTTGCAAAGCGGTGTAAATTTGAGACGATACCTTCACACTTCTTGAACTTAATAAATACGTGCAAATTGTTGGCAAAATGCATTATTGAAGCAAATAAATCCATTTGTCATTCTCCGTTTCTTACTAGCTCACAGGGGAAGCATGTTTAGTCGAAGTGGCCTTCTTAGATGTAATGTATACCATATTGAAGAGCAGAAAACTCTGATCCCAGACCTGCAATCCTCATTTGCTCAATGTTTGTGGGCGAGGAGTTATGAGGGTCTATTAGAGCAAAAAATTGATTGAATTTGGGTCAAAAGAGATGCTAAAAACTTCCTAGTATTCAACTGAAGCAACTAAAAGTGATATATTTTTTCATCTAAGAGTATTCATCGATTAAGTTGCTTTGGTAATTATCACGGCTATATTAAGGCCCTAGAAAAAATATCACGACATTTTTATCCTATTTGCACATGTATTTTTTTGCTCCAATAAAAGTTTATAACTTCTCGTCCATTAACGTTCTCCAGATAAGGAAGGTAGATTTGGAACAGCCTTTATGCTCTCTAATATATGTAGTGTAAATCTTATTTTGTAAGGCCACTTTGACCAAACATGGCTTTATCAGCAAGACGCATCTAGTAATAATATGCAACTCATTCCATAGTGCCACTGAGACTTGTGATCTTTTCCCTCTAGATTTACCTTTCGCATCCCGTGAACGATTCTTCAGTAGGAAATGTGCTTTGCGTAAACCCATACAATTGCTATAAATGACGTGCTTTAAAATTTACCTCTGGAGACCCTGGTTAAGATATCTTACAAGGGAATGGTTAGAAGTCGAAGTAGCCAAGCCAAACAAGCTGTATATCTTTCGATGCAGTATGAAATGCTGACTTCGAATCTGTCTTCCTTATCTGCTTATCGCTTCTGTGGACGAAGCTACAAGCGGTTTTATTGTAAAAAAATCGCACCCAAAAACTGTGAAATGGAGCACATTGTTGCAATTTCAGCTCAGCTTTAGGCTTTGAGAGTTTGAAGTAAGTTAGCTGCATGTTTTGGCCCAGCATCAAGTTGAACGTGGCTCTGTACGGCCAAATTTTCACTTTCAAGCATAATTTCTTAGCAAAATATTGGCCTTTAATGGCTTATAGCTTTGTCCAGAAAAGGATAAGCAGATAAAAAAGAATTTAGAGTCAGCGCTTCATACTGCATCTAACAGTATGCAGCTTGTCTGGATTAGCCACTTCGATATCTGACTATTCCCTTGTTAGTAGAAAGAAGAAAGGGTAGCCATCTATCTAAGAATGAACTGCTCTTTGACAATACCATGAATGCATGGCACTACAAATTGAGGATGACAGCTTCTTCTGAATGAGTATGCAGGAGAAACGAAAAGAAAGGTAGATTCGGAGTTATCTCGTCAAAGCATCTAACGATGCATTTCAGGAGCGATCTTCAGTGTTTAGACAATTACTCGCCATAAACTTCAAGCTACATTGATCCTAGCTCAGATAAGAGTTAAGTTTTGAGTTAATGTTTACTTTAGTTTAGTTTCGAATTTTTTTTGAAGTATAAGTTTCAGATTTTCCCTAGATTGTCTCTTGCCCATAGTGTTTGATTACCATTAGCGATCAAACCCATAGTTGCATGGAGAGTGTATCGTTGCGATGATTTTCTTCAGCTTCATCCTATCTTTAAATTTGGATGTTCAGAATCAGCGGACTGCGCCTCATAAACTAAGTTTCGGACCCCTTTTATAACAAGCGGCAATCTTACGCCGAAAGGACCAAATTAACAAGTCGACTCTCCCAACAAAAAAAATTCAAGTCAAATACTGGAATCTTTGCCCTCATTAAATTGACAAAACCTGCAAAACCCTTTTATCTCGTACTTTGCTTAAATGACCGGCGTAGATGTAAGTACCACATACACCACCCGTAATTTGTGAAAAAAAAATGGCGGCGGCACTTAACTTACGCGGCGCCGCCGCAGTTAGGTGACAAACGCCGCGTCGCGCGACAAAAGTCGGCGGAAAAGCGGCATTTGTCGCCTAACTTTGTCGCGCAACGCCCAACTTTTTATAAAAAAAGGCCTTATCTTGATTCAAAATTTATGAATTCTACATATAAGAGTACCATTCAACTCAGCTCGGCGAGGCACGTCTTCCAGTATACAGATGTGCCTAGTTATGGGATATAAGTTTTTTTTCCTGAAATTTTAGTGTAAATGGATCTTTCATGTGCTGATTCCAGAGGCTACATACACATTGTGATGAACACTGCAGAAATAGGGCACGTATAGTTTAAGAGTTCATTCTGATGGATGTGTGTGAAACTGGGCTTTTCTCGGTCGCGGAATGCCGCGCGTGATGTGCAATGTACAGGGTGCGGCAAAAGTCTGGGAGCCTAGTACTTTTTCGTACAAAACGAGAAGGGAAGTACCTAGAAACGAAAAATTTGGCGCACACATAATTCGATCCATTGCAGATACAACCCAGTTCTTGAGTTGCAAATCTGCCTCTTTTGGCTTCCACGCAGCCCTACAAAATCTTGGCAAGTCCACCTATCATGGCACGCAGGTAGTCGTGATGGAATTCGCTCCACGCCTTTACAATAGCCTCTTCTTTTAACTTGGCAAATGCGCAGCGTGATAGAGCAAATTTTTGTCTACAACATACTTCCAAAAGAATTTTTCGCATTGCTTAGGATTGAAAATATTGGATTTTTAATTAGATGCATGTGTACGTCGCATACCGGAATTTTGGCTAAACTGCGCGGATAAAAACTTGAAAATATCGTGTAAAAAGTATAAAAAGTGTTCCCATAGCCGAATTTCAACAGATTCTAATTTAAAAGACGTATGCAAAAAATACAGCCTTGGTTCCAGTGCCTGTTGAGCATTCTATAGCTTTTGAATTTGTTCTGAAGACGGATTTCCACTGGCACGTAAGTAGCATTCGCAATCTTTTATTTTTCGTTCATGCAAGAACAGCTCCTGGCAAAAGCAAAACTAGGATACAATAGCGCAAAGCCTCTTCTATGTTGTATGCATCGAAGTTTTGTAAAATATTAACAGCATTTCTAGTTACAGCAAAAATTGTAAATATCAAAAATTCTGGTTTTTTCGCTTTGCAAAAGTACTAGTTTGGTAATTTTCATTCTTACAAAAACATATGGCAGCCATTTCCAGCCAAATAAAGTGTATTCTGTAGAGGATGACCGCAGCATCATGTGACATAAAATTGAAATCAAAACCATCAGTGTCTTTGTAATTGCAGTATTGCAAAGTTAGGCTCCCAGACTTTTGCCGCACCCTGTACTATACCACTCACAGAACGGGAATTTCGCGAAATTTCAGAAATTTCGCGATTCCGGAATATCGCAAATTATGCAGCGCCATAACTTCCTTCGGAATGAATATATTCTAAACTCGAAAGCAGCATTGTGTTCATCTCGTCAAGGCGAATCTTTCGACATACGTCATGTCATCTATATCTTGTTTCCAGTTTTCTCAAATCGTTGTGAGGAGGTTCCTTTGCAAATATGTAACGCAGCGCCTATCCAACATGAAAGCTTCCAGTAAGCACCATTCGATAGTGCTCTTCTTGTACATTATAGTGCGCTAGGAAGCTGCCGCAGACTTCTTTTCAAAAGAGAAAAAAGCGTTGGTAAATTCTGGAAAAATCACTCGTTTCCAGATTTTACTCGCCGTAACTTTCTTTGGAGTGGATATTTGAATCCGAAAAATGCATTGTGCTCAGCTCATCAAGGCAAATCTTTCGGTGTGCAGAATGTCCTTGATATCTCGATTTCAGTATTCTCAAAACTTTCTGCGGTCGTCTCTTCGCAAAGGTGTGAAGCAGCGCATATTGCCCCCAGTAAATTCAGAAAGAAACTTTCGATAGTACTTCTTCTGTAGATTATGGGGCGCCAGAAATTAGCCGCACACTTCTTTCCAAAGGAGTAAGAAGGGCTGGTGAATTCTGGAAAAATCATGTTGTTTTAAATTTTTCTCAACGTAACTCTAAAATATGAAGCTCTCTTGTTAAGCAAATGTGATTTTCGTATTCAGCAGGTCCGATAATCCTTATGAGCAAGTTTTCCAAGATGTTCGAGTAATTTCATTTTTTCTCGTTTTACGCTCTTGAAGCTGGCCGATGGATTTTGGTCAAAATGTTCATGCTCTTAAATTGTAGGGAAACTTCGCTTATAGAGGTTTTCGAACACGCTCTTTACGAAAATCAAGGTCTTTGAGGATTACAGGGTCTTTTTGGTGAGATACGGTGAGGTGACTGTAACTGCATCACGAAAGTGCGTAACTTTGCCCGCACTTCTCGCGTATCTGTCAGCAACCTTGCCGCTTGCTTTTCTCAGTCAAAGTTACTAGGAACTGTGCTACCGAATGGTGCATGACTCAGGCTCCATTCTATAAAAATCGTTGAGTTACGAGCCTATGAAAACACGTCCTCATGAATTTTGCCCAAAATGTAAAGATCGCAAATCTCATCGAAATTCCACCGTGAGCGCTTGTACTCCATAAACGAAGTTTCCTTACAATTTAAGAGCATGAACATTTTGACCAAAATCCATCGGCCAGCTTCAAGAGCGTAAAACGAGAAAAAATGAAATTACTCGAACATCTTGGAAAACTTGCTCATAAGGATTATCGGACCTGCTGATTACGAAAATCACAACTGCTTAACAAGAGAGCTTCATATTTTAGAGTAACGTTGAGAAAAATTTAAAACGACATGATTTTTCCAGAATTCACCAGCCCTTCTAACTCCTTTGGAAAGAAGTTTGCGGCTACTTTTTAGCGCTCCATAATCTACAGAAGAAATACTATCGAAAATTTCTTTCTGAATGTACTGGGGACAATACGCGCTGCTTCACACCTTTGCGAAGAGACGCCCGCAGAGTTTTGAGAATACTGAAATCGAGATATCAAGGACATTCTGCACACCGAAAGATTTGCCTTGATGAGCTGAGCACAATGCATTTTTCGGATTCAAATATCCACTCCAAAGAAAGTTACGGCGAGTAAA